CTCGTAAGTCCGGCAATTATCTTAGAACGAATAAACCCCCTCGATACGTTAGGAACCGAATCAAACTCGCAACAAATCATTCCGACAAACCATGGCGGATTCTATCAAGAACGTGGCTGTAGTTGGGGTGAGTAGATTCAACAAAGTTTGTGACCTTACTAACAACTTATTAGGCGTCGGGGAATTTGGGCAAGGAGGTCGTCCAAGAGCTGCTCAAAGCTGGCTTCAAGGTTACCGCGTTCGCCCGTGAGGAGTCGACAGCCACGTTCCCCCCTGGCGTGGCCGCTAAAAAGGTTAACTATCAGTCTGTCGAGTCGTTAACCGCCGCGCTTCAGGGGCAAGATGCGGTCGTATCCACGATCGCGACGGTGGCTGTCGGCAGTCAGGTCCCGCTGGTAGACGCTGCTATCGCCGCCAAGGTGAAGCGGTTCATTCCGTCCGAGTTCGGCATCAATACGAGAATCGTAGAGGGCACACCGATCGGTCAGATCCTCCAAGGGAAGGTCAAGACTCTCGATTATATCATTAGCAAGTCTCGGGAGAATCCGTGGTTTACCTGGACCGGCGTCTCCAGCGGGATTTTCTTCGATTGGGTACGTATAAAGTCGTTCAAAGAAGAACCAAGTGCGCTGACGACATGCATAGGGGCTAAAATTCGGAACCGTAGGGTTTAACAAGGACACTAAGACCGCGACCATCTACGACTCCGGAGACGAACCGGTCCAGGCGTCAAATTTGGCGTTCATCGGCAAGGCTATCTTCGCTATATTGTCGCAGCCGGAGAAGACGGCCAACCAGTATCTTACGATCGCGTCGTTTAATCCGTCCCAAAACCAGATCCTAAAGATCGTAGAAGCGGAGACGGGCGAAAAGTGGAAGGTAGAGCATGCCAGCACCGCGGAGCAGGAGAAGATCGGAGAGGAGAAGCTAAGCAAAGGGGATTACAGCGCGTTCTCCAACTTCTTGCGGAGTCGCATATACGCGGACGGTGCTGGTCACGCAGTTTCAGGAGACAAAAATGCTATTGGCTTACTCGGGTTGCAGGAGGAAGATCCGGCAGCAACGGTAAAGGAGTGGCTACGTGGCTAAGCGCAAATCACATGTACCTAAGAGGTAGTCTGGAATTTTACAGGCGGCTTTTATTTCCGTTCGTTTACGTACGACTAGATAACCAAAGGCAAAACTGTGCAGTTTAGCACTCTGCTATCGCGGTATGCTATGTACAAGAGATTCCGCTATCGTTTACCCGGTTACCCGCTCAAGTAAGAGACGGAACCTCCCACGGGGCCCAGTCGGTGACGGCGACACTGGCGCTGCTCTTCTCGACCTCGGGAGGAGCCGTGGTGCCGGCGAGCAAGAAGTAGTTGATGTAGGCGGTGAGCTCGGCCTGCTGGGAGGATGGGAACATGCAGTGGCTGTGGCCACCGACGAGGGAGAAACCCATGTTTGTGGGGACGCCGAGACCCTTGTAGATGAGACGTCCCGCCTTCATGCAGCCGGTCGTGCTGACGGGGCCGAGCCAGTCGATATCGTTCTCGAAGGCGAGGAGACCGCGAGGGGCGACGAGGGCGGCGAGGAAGTGGTGATCTTCGGGCATAGTGTTGGTCTTGGAAGTGTACTGGTTTAGGTTCTGGCTGAACCAGACGTTCTCTCCGACGATCTCGCCGGCGGTCTGGATGTTCTTGCCCTTGCTATGCTCGGAGTCGGAGATACGCCAGCAGGCGGCACCACCGGAACCGGATTCTTGCGGGAGAGTAAGAGCGATACGGTTGGCGAGGGCGCCGACGATGAAAGCACCCTTTCCGTTACGGGAGCAACCCGTAGTTCCCAGCCTCTTGGGGTCGATACCGGTCTGGGCGGCGCCGAGCTGCTCGAGACCGTCGATGACGCGGTCGACACCCCAAGCCCAAGCCGTAAGAGCACCGGCGGAGTGGGTGTTTCCGAAGAGGGTGTAGAAAGCACCCTGGCCGCGGGACTGGCCGGAAGCCTGGGAGGCGAACTGGTCGTTATTGAACCCGACGGTGCCTACGGTGCCGGGAATGGGCAGCGAGGAGCCGCCGATGGTGATGATGGCGGGGCCGGGAGAGGTGCTAGGCTTCTTGATGGAGGTGCTAATAGTGACCGACTTGGAGCCGACGGTAACCTTGACGTTCATGGTGCTTCCGGAAAGGGAAGCCTCAACCTTGTCGGGGGGCGGGGGGTAGACGCCTAGCTCGTACTGCTGTAGGAGCTTGCTAATCTCTTGCTGACGACATGTCCAGTCGGCCTTGCTAGCGACTTTCGTTCCGTCCTCGAAAGTAAAAGGGTCGGGCAGCTGAGCAAAGTTCACAGCCGGGTAGGTGTCCTTCACGGCGCAGTCGGTAGTGTTCTGGCGCTCGTAGATGTCAGCGAACGGCAAGGCGGTAGCCGTGGAGCCCAAGAGGAGGGCGGAAGTCAGACGGCGCATCATGTTGGGCGCTGTTTCTGGGAATCTGGGAAGAAGTAGGGCAGTATGCTTCGTCGGTTAGTAAACGGCGGTTGGGGGCGCTGAGACGATTCTTATATGTCGCCGGGTTTGGCTGTTGCTGCGGGACGGTTTACGTCTCGTCGCAATCGTCGATTTCCGGCTGATCTCTGAATGCCCGAACTGGAGTGGCTTGGTGTCTCTCCTTTTCGAGTTGATAGGGGTCGAGCGGCTCTAGCCGAGTCGAGACGTCGGGTGGCACTCCACTCTAAACGACGCAATAAAGGCTTTTTGGTCTGACGGTTCGACCACAGTGGCGCGTTTAACCTCGGCGTCGCGCGTGGCAAGACTAACCCCTTGCACCGAGATCCGCTTGGCACTTTGGGGATGATGGCGGGTGAGCATCTACTCCGCATCTCCAAACGTAGAGAGATTGGATAATATGGCTAATACGGCTGGCGCTGTTAGGACGCGCAGGAGCCTTGCGTAGGGTAGCATCGAGTGATGAAAATCAATATACCCAAGAAACCCCGGGTACACTTATAGTATTAATACCGTCGCTATGCTCCCTACAAGAAATCAATGGGGGGACTCATGTGTCAAGCCTTGAGTTGAAGAATTATACAATTCTCAAACTTATCCATTTTTATCAGCGTAAGAATAGACCGGATAAAGGGGCGTAGACGTACCTATCTCCCCTGACGGTTCTTTAAGAGAGTTCCTCATCTCCGGCGTGGTTTCGTAAGACAGAGCTTTAAAAAGTTTTGGAGGATTTAAACGTGGCTAATTAGAAGGTTACTATTCATAGAACGTGTAAACCCCAAAGATGCGAAGGTGACAGCCTTTAAAATAGCCGGAGACGAGGTTGCATCCAGCCGCTTGTTAGACGCTCCGAATTACCGCACGTGGTTAAAGCGTCGCACGACTGCGTCCTCGATGGTGGCCAAACTTGTCTGCAGAATCTAGCCCTACTTCCAAGATGGTTCAGATATTTCGAGCAGAAGCCGCGAGCTTCCCCAGGTTCTTGGCAACCGGTAGTTGCTGTGTGGTAGCCTCTTGAACTTCCTTCCTTAGTGATGCTTTCTCGGCTGCCAGCATCGTCGAACCCTCACCGTTAGAGCACACCTCACTATGGCCAGCCAGATCCTTTTAGTAGCGCTGGGGCTTCTTGCTAGCTCCGTCGCTGCCCACGGCGGCCTTTCCAACTACACTGTTGGCGATACTTGGTACAGGGGGTAAGATTTTGTATTGCTGGTGTTCGATGCTGATGCTAACTAAAGTTACAGATACAGCCCGGACGAGCCGTTGGAAGACCAGCAGGGCCAGCCTTGGATGGTCCAGAGGATATGGGCGAGCATCGACCCGATATTCTTCGTAAACGACACTGGCCTAGCCTGCAACACCCCAGGCACGGCGCCGCCGTCATATATACCTATCGCAGCCGGGGATAACATTACGGCGGTATATTGGTATTGGCTGCATCCGTATGGGCCCATGTCGGCTTGGCTTGCCGACTGCGGGGAGTCGTGCGAGGACGTCGATGTAAACCAGCTAGACTTCTTCAAGATCTGGGAGGCGGGCTTGGTCGAAGGCAACATCGTAGAGGGTATCTGGTATCAGAAGCAGTTCCAGAACTGGGATGGATCACCGGACCTATGGTCCGTCACGATCCCAGCCACCATCAAGCCGGGACTTTACATTATCAGGCATGAGATCCTGAGCATCCACATAGAGAATAAGCCGCAGTTCTATCCCGAGTGCGCGCATCTTAACATCACCGGAACGGGGACAGCAGTACCGTCACCCGAGTATTTCGCCAAGTTCCCTGGGGCGTATAAGGAAGATGGTACGTCTCGCCCCCAGACCAGCGAGAGTGGCTAACAGTGTCAGATCCGTCGATCAGGATTGACATATATTCGGATGAAATAAAGGCGCAAACGGTAGGAATATACCAGACCCTTCTCTGTGCTGAATCTAACCCGTCGCAGAATTACACGATACCCGGACCGCCGGTATGGGACGGGTGAGTACCCAAACAAGCTTGCAAAAGGCAGTGTTGACAACTCGCAGGTTTGTAAACAAGTACTGTCAGGATTGTTAATAAACTGTCCCTGGGCGCTTAGATTCAGGTGTCTACCTACGTAACTTGTAATGGATCTGGTATGATGCAATTTTACACACCGAATTTATACATGTGATAGTAGATGACGCGGGTTTGGCTAGGAACTTTAATTTGACAGGCGACTCACCTGGCCCAAATTTCCGTTTCTATACCCAAACTATAGTTATTGTCACTTTGACACCGGAAGCACCTGATATATGTAAATAGCTTCTAATTGATATTGAGAACCTGCCGACTCCGATGAATTCAGCGTGCTGCAAAGCTATATCAAATTGATATAATAGCCAGCCATCTCTGACATTGAAAATGTAGGTACCTAAGTTATGTCCTTTGCAAAATTGCAAAATTGCACAGAAAAAAAAAAAAAAAAAAAAAAAAAAAACCTCTACAATTTGAAAGCTTAGACGGGGCTTATTGATTATTTTTTAATTAATACCCATCACGATCTATGCTTGTATCTACAAGGACGAACGCCCAAGATATACTCGTATGTTTATGTTTTAATCACCATCGTCCCTACGCTCCTTTCTTCGGGACGCGCCGAATGGGCTTGTAAGTGGGCTCAAGACGCCGGTAGATGGACCTCGATCATCTGCCCACTGCACGTCTCGTAAGCCAGCCCACCCAGGTGTTGTAGCAGAGTAGGTTTCGTCTGACCGGCCTATGCTACGTAGTGGAAGATCGTCCGCAGCCAGCCACGCACTATTCCTTATTTCCTGCTGTCCTTGTGAATTATCTTCCCTGTTGTCTCCCGCCCAGAGACCGCCGCTCATTAACTCTGCGAACTTGCTATTTTTTGCCAGCAGCTCGTTGTAAGAACCAGCCTCTACTGCGCTGCCTTGGTCGATTACAATTATTCGATCCGCCATTCGCATCATTTCCTTGCTGTGCGTGACGACAATAATCGACAGCTCTTCTCCCCTGCTACCGCCGGCGCCCTGTTTCCTTGTAGACTGCATGAGAGACTCTATCGTGTGCCGCACGTCTCTAGCGCTAACCGCATCTAGCGCGCTCGTAGGCTCGTCGAGAACTAATAGCTTAGGTCGCCGCGCTAACGCCCTGGCTATGCAAACCCTCTGCGCCTGTCCGCCGCTCAGCGATTGTCCACCGTCTCCGACGATCGTGTCGTAGCCGGCCGTCGAAGTGCGGATGAAGTTGTGGATACCCGCCTCCTTGGCTGCCCTCTGAATATTTTGAGGCGTGAGCAGCGGCGAGTCTTCCGCTAGGCCGTAAGCGATGTTTTCCGCCAGGGTGCCAGGGAAGAGAAGCGGGATCTGGGGGACGTAACCGATATGACTCCGTAGGCCGGCGATGTCAAGTTGATCTGCTGGCGTGGACGCGAAAGTTAGCTGCCGCTGGTCCCCGCTGTTCCGCCTGCCTCTCGACCGGTCCGGTGCATATAGACCGAGGATGATAGACGCGATCGTGCTCTTTCCGCAACCAGAAGGACCCACTAGTGCGGTAGACGTGCCGGCGTCAAAACAGAGGGTGAGGTTTCGAAGCACAGTGCGCTTGCTCGACGGGTAAGCGAAGGACAGACGCTCCATCCTGATGGGAAAGGGGTTTACGAGTAGAATCTTGCCTCTCGACTCGTGAGAGGCGTCCAGGGGTAAGTACGCGTAGTGGATTAGCCGGGAAGCTGTTGCTTGTGCTGCGGAAACGCCGGTTATAGAACCCAGTATGCTAAAAGCGGTAGTGACGCCCAGGACTAATAGGTTCACCACCTGCAGGGTGGCGGGGATCGTAAGCTCTCGATCGGTTGTAAGCAGCTCAATCGCGTACCAGAAGGTGAGCGCGAAGATAAACCAGACCATAGACTGCGAGCAGGCGTACGGTATAGCGGTCCAGACGGATTTTTCGGCTCCCAGCTCGAAAGCTCTGCGAATAGACCTTTCGTACTTATTCGAGAAGAAGTGCTCTAGCGTCAAGGCCCGGACGACGCGCACGTTAATAAAAGTTTCCGTCAAGATCGAGCTGACGTCGTCCGCGGCTTTTAGGCATTTGTTTTCCCACTTCTGAGACACGAGGGAGTGGCCTTGCGTGGCTGCGACGAAGGCGGGCGCGCTCGCGAGGCTTACGAGTGTGAGCCGCCACGAGATGAGCAGCGCCCATACCACAGTGCTGACGACCATGATAGTCACGACGAGCAGCTGCGGAGCGAAACGCCCGACGAGACTTCGCATCTCCTCCGCGTATCGATCCATGCACTCGTTTATGCGGATGGCCGAATTAGCCGGCTCGTCAAACCACGATTTGGGCTGTCGTAGCACCCTGTTCAGCGCTCGAATACGCAAGGCGTTTACCCAAGCCTGGCCCACCCTCTGCGTCAGATACTGGTTGAAGTACGTCGCTGCTGCTCTTATGCAGGCGACCGCTAAGAGGCACAAAGCCCATTTCCGTCCCGCGGCCATTTTGTCTCCAGTCGAGAATAAGACCGCCAGGAGGTTTGCAAATAAGACTGAAAAGGCCGGAACCAAGCCCGCGAGCAAGACGCACGTAAAGGATCCTACGATGAGGAACGTCCTTTCTTTCATAGCTAGGCATGGCCATACGGTCTTGTAGATAGCCCACAAGGAGAGTGTCTCAGATTTATCGCCGTCGTGAGTCCCGAGAGTGTCTACAGGTGCAGTCGTAGGTCCCCGCCGCCGGTCCTTATCGGCAGGGTTGCTGCGAGTTTTTCGCACCGTTTCGCCCAGCTTCTGAAGGCGTAGTATGCTATTCCTGCTTAGTGGCCTTTTCTGGTTGGACTCGCTGTGGAATAGACGATAATGCTCGGGCCACCACAGCGATGAGAACCTCCTACGGAAGAAATCAGGGGGTTCTAGGAGCGTGTCTAAAGTATCCAAGCCTCCCGACCCAGTAAGTTCCCTGTTTTTGCTCCCATCTTGAAATTGGTGGGCCCGTATGGCCGACGCGCCTACATCCGGGGTAGTGCTCCGCCGATAGAGGGCGTCTGGTCCTCCAAAAGGCCAAACGTAGTCTGGAGAAGTAGGATCCTGCAATGCGGTGCTCCTCGGTGTGAGACTTACTGAGGCACCTGTCTTGTCTCCTAGCACATCCGCGTAAACTTCTTTATCTGCATTGATCTCGTCGTTTGAAGCCGAAGACGCTAGCGCAGCAAACATGCCGTTTCTCTGCTGCTGTAAAACCCAACGGAAGCCTGCCTGTACGACGCGCGCGTCCTCCATAACGTATACGTAATCATCATCGTTGATCTGTGCTACTTCGTGGGTAATTATAATGGTTGTTTTCCCTCGTCGCCACTGCCTAATGCTATCCATAAGTAGGCCTCGATTCGTTGGGTCGAGCCCGCTCGTGACCTCGTCGAGGATGAGTACTGGCGGATCGCGTATTCTTGCCCTCGCTACGGCTAGCCTTTGCTTCTGACCACCGCTCAGGCTGATGCCGCCAGTCCCTACGTACGCATCTAGGCCGTCGGGCAGCTCGATCAGCGTCGACTGGAGCAGGGCCGCTTTGCATGCCGCTTCAACTCCTTTCCTAGACACCTCCGTGGGTATCCTGTGGCCCATGGCAACATTAGCATAGATGGTATCGTTGAAGAGCACGCTCGCCTGTTGGATAAGTGTGACGTTGCTCCGCACCCACTCGGAGTCTAAAGTTTTGAGCGCGTGGCCGTCTATCAATATGTTTCCGCTGAGGGGCTCGTAGAATTTCGCTAGCAGATTGCCTATGGTACTCTTTCCCGAACCGCTCTGCCCGACGATAAAGCATAGCCGGTCCCGATCGAACAAGAAAGAGCACCTGTTCAGAACGAGCTTGGTTGGGTTGGACGGGTACGCAAAGCTAACCTAGAGACCGTGGTGTTAGACATAGGGGAGGAGAGTGGTTAAGGCAGACTCACATCGTTAACTTCGACCTTCCCAGAGCAATTTATAGGGCGGAAGCTACCTATCATTTGATAGATCCTTCGTCCGCCTTCGATGTTGTGAGATATAGAGTAGAGAGCTTGGCCGGCAGCCATGCCCCTTGCCAGAGAGATGTACGTCGGTGCTATGGTGTAGATAGCCTGTAACGCGCCAAGAGCCGCGTAGAATGTTGTCACGACGCTTCCTGGATTTAGCCCCTGGTTAACTAGGACGGCACCGTAGTAAAACCCCAGCACGAATATCCCGTCTAGCCATAATCTTATATAACCGACTTGCCACGCGCTCGCCCTTGCCAGAGTTAGATACGTATCCATAGACCTTTGTATCACTTGGAGATATTGCCAGACTTCGTGGTCGACGGCGTTGAAGGCCTTTACGAGGTCTATCGCGGTTAAGGCTGATATCGCGTGCTTAGATGCCCGGCCGAGCTCTTGCTTCTGCGCTTGAATAGCCACCTTCAGCTTACCGCTCAGCAAAGAAGGTACGACGACGATAGCCGGTATCGTGGCGAGGAGTACGAGCGTGAGTTTCCACGAGCCGTAAAATGCGACGATAAGATTTGCGATCGATGTGGCCATCTCGGCTGCGATGGACCCCAGTGTTGCCGAAGATGCTACTTGAAGCTCTCTAATCTGTCTGATACACGGTTAGCAATTTGCGCGGCTACTAGATTAAGATAAGCAGTACCCACGTTTGTATTCTCACGAGCAGGCTCGGGATCCCATCTTCCTGAAGGTCGAACCAAGCCATGTCTTTCGTGAGTAAAGCCTCAAACACTCTGCGACGAATCTTCCTGGCTTGGACCTCGCTGAAGATGGACCAGATGAACATGAAGGCAAAGTTAACAATAACTCCTGCTCCGCCAACCAGCATCAGGATGACGCACCAGGACGAGACCTGAGCGTAGGCGCCTGGCCCGTCCAGTTTCCCCGAGCCAAAGTCGGCGACGACGGCGAATATTCTCCCTATGAGGATGGCAGAAGCTGCCCTCATAGCGCCCACTAACAAAGATGCCACCACGCCTGCAGCCAATATTCCGCAATGACGCCATGTCGCGAAGACGAAAATGTGTCTCAGAGAGGGGGGTTCCATGCGTTGTGAATCGATTCTTGCAGATTGCGCATAGTCGGACGCTCTGTCTTCGCTATCGCGAGGGCTCGATCCGACCCTAGATTTTAGACTCAGTCGAGACATGACAGGCAGAGGAACGCAGTGTTCTGCTCGCACGATATCAGTTGTTGAAAAGAGCGAGAGCAGACGCCCAGGAACCAGCCCAGATTGTATCACGAGTGTTTTAACTGAATTATCGTAGGACCACGTTTATTTAGTTAGCAGTTCTACGCCAGCCTCCCAGTGACGTTGGCCTTTGTCCGCTCTTGCTTTGTAGCCGCAAACAAGGTGTCGGGATGCCGATAGTGCCAACAGTGCCAACAGAGCTGGAGTGTTATCTACTAGTTCTAAATCGAATAAAGGGCATCTCGAAATAAGCTTGCTCCGCATAAAACGATGATAAATGTTACCAAAACTGTTATACCATGACGAATGTCGAATATCTGACAGCTCACTAGGATACAAGACCGCCGAAGTAATCCGATTAGGGCTCGAAGCCATTCGTCCATTTACGTTTCTATCCGCACATTACTATATCAGGTACTGGCCATGTTGCCGACGTGAGGCTCCGGCGCTCCTGTTCGCCTACACCTATTTCGCCTCTTGTCCTCTTTTGGGTATTTTAAAAGACGGCGAGAGAGGCTATTTTATTTTTCATATCGTTTATAATGACTATGTCTTAAGGCTTACCCGCGCCTTTGGCCTTCTCGTAGATCCAGTCGTTAAGGCCGGCCTTATTCCTTGCTATCTCGACAGCGTAGAATTGCATCCTCGGAACTAGAGAGGGGACCAGTTAGCAGAGCGGGGTTTGACCTATCTCAACTTTGTAAGAGAGTGAATCTAAATACCAAATATCGTCGTGTCCTGCTCGTATTCTACGCTAGGGCTCGTTCGTAACATGGTGCCAAAGTTGTAGTCGTCAACCTTCTTCTCGTAGGCCATCATGAACTTGCGCCACCGCTCCTTGCCCGATTTACTCTTCATCTCTTCCTCGTTGATGGTCGCTGCGGGGTCGAATTCGGGAAATTCGGCTTTAAGGTGTTCATATATCTCATCGTCCATCTTGGTGAGTCGCAACGAGGAACCTTTTACCTTTTCCAGAATAGACCAGTATGTCTCTAGATGCTGCACCGCTGCGCTCATGAATTAAGATTGGAACATCATATCTAAAGTAGATTTGGTTCGACGCAAACCTTTGACCGCAAACTGCTTCTCGATCTGTCATTCGTGGAATCAGATTAGCTATCAGATGCATCTAGATAGATGGCCTAGGGAGTCTTACATCCTCCAAATTGTCTGCATTTTCCGCATCAAAGTTTGTCGGAACAGGTCCAGACATTTTCGTAATTTCCTCCATGATCGGTATTGCGTTAATCGCGAGGGTTGCTTAGATTTTGCGGGTGTCCCAGAACAAGTTTAAGAATAGTTATGGAAATACCAGAGAGAGCTGAGTTGCAAAATCGTCATTTTGGAGGGGCTAAACATTCACCGCGGGGCACAGTGGGGCAGGATATGTATATCGTCAGCATAACGTCAAAAAAGGTGGCGCACCCATAGCATAATTGTTAGTAAACTGCGCCAGTTATTTTAACTCTATTTTAATCGTTCATGCTTATGTGCATATCTCGTTACCTAGGTACCGGAGTTACATATCTAATCTATAAAGTTGATGCACTAAACGAAATCTAAAGTTTTATATGTTGAAATTCACCTACTCCTGTTTACTGGATGAAGAGTTATATTGGAAAAGGTATAACCAATAACTATCTCGCCGATCCCAGGTGTTGAATTGGCAACACCGTCCGTCCAGGTTAGGCAATGAAGCAAGTTCAGCCTGAGAGTATCAAAAGTACTATACCAGCCATCCCGTCCCAAATATGTTCAGACTCGTCCACGAAGCAACGCTATCTCCATATTAGACTTTATTCGATTTCTATTCTCTCCGACGGTTTGGTATTATTCTACTTCAAGTCCTTCATTGTCTATTTTAGACCTCTCTCCCAAATTTAGCACAATATATCCTGTATATAGCATGCTCGCGCTTATACCTTCTTTCATCTACAAAGCTATACGTTATATTCTCTTCACTTTTGCTCAAGCGCCTGTATACTGTTAGCGATTGGATCAAATATGCGAATGAATCAAGGACTCTCACAATAGCAAACGAGCTCCGGGCCCGGATTCTACTTCCGAACAAGACCAAAGCCCACGGTACGATTGTCAATACGGTAGCAATTCCGCCCAGTAGCCCACCCATCGCGTCTTCTCCGAGATTTCGGATCAGCAAACCCGTGACAAGTGGGAATACTCCACCGAGTACGTTTCGGCAGAAAGACTGCGCGGCCAGCGCCGATGACGCGTACGCTTGATAGATGTCTGCTAGATAGTTAAATGTAGCCAAGTATACGTAAAAGATGCCCATCGTAGCGAGGAATATTGCAAACGTAGGAACCATCCAGTGGATCGACGGCTGAGACGCGAATCCGAATAGGTATAGACCTGTCGGCAGCAGCACTGACGTGAAGCAGGTAAAATAGAGTCGCGATTCGGGAGATTGGGCCGGGAATTTCCGTCTCACAAATGCCCAGAACCCAGTACCTGTACCTGTACCTGTACCGATCTCCGAGCTGTCCTCCGAGCTGTCCGTCTCTGAGCTATCTGATCCGGATCGCCACTTGGGATGTTTGAGCATTCCTTCTTGATATATACCGAGGATAGTTGCGAGTATAGAGCCTATGATCATGGCGATAAAGACGAAGCCGGACTGTTCGGTGTTAAAGTTGTACTGTCTCTGGAATACGAGCGGAATAGACCCGAAAGTCAGGTAGAGAATACCCCATGCGAAAGATACCCACAGCGAGAAGAAGAAGACGATGGGTTCCGTGAAGAGGAACATGAATGGCCTAAATAACGATACGGTTATCATCGTGGCGAGGGATGTCCGCTGCTCGTCTTCCTTGACGGTCCATCTAATTCGCCGCAACCCTGGAGATCCCTTCTGATTAGATTCCGCTGTGAGCGCCGACAGGCCCTTCTCCTTGGCCGACGTATCATTGTTCCTGGTCGCCACTACTCTCGAGATAATATCCGCGTCACCATTCGATCCGGGAATATAAACTCCAAACACCCCTTTTTCCTCCAGCTGTTGATACCATTTATTCAATGCCCTTGCCTTTCTTGATAGTAGCACCGAGCCGCGGCTCTCCTTGAAAAATACCACAACGGCAATCATCAAAATAAAATCTATGATAACTGCGGAGCTAGGGTGTTAGCTACCATCTATCGCATACGATCTAATGTAGATATAATCACCCTCACGCCTTTGCACGACGTATTTAGTAGCGGGAGCAAGATGGGTATATAGAATTGTCAACTTACCCTGATGCCAAAATACCCATTTCCACTTCTGGCCCTCGCCTCCCCACTGCTGAACCATTACCGCAGCCACAAGCGGTCCGAGGCCGGTACCGACCAGGACGGCGCCGCTGAAGAGCGCCATCGGCATGTTGCGGTCTTCCTTCTCGTACATGTCGGCGATTACACCGCCCACCATGGTGCTAAACACGCTTCCGCCGACGCCCTTGAAAAACCGGGCAATCAACATACCCGCCAAGTTAGTGACCACGCCGCAGACGGCCTGAAAGACTACAAATATGACGCCGGCAATGGCGAAGATGGGGTAGCGCCCGTTGATCTCCGAAAACGGAGCCAAAATCATAGGGGCGATAGCGAAGCCGATGCAGAATGTGGTCACGCCAACCAGAGCGCTCTCGCGTGTAGTGTTGAACTCTGCGGCGATCAGATCCGCAGATACAGAATACGCGCCGGCCGCGTACGCCGTAAAGCAAGTGGCCATGCAAGATATAACCACCATAACCCCTTTGCGCGCCAACGGCCACTTCATCGGGTCTGCGTATGGAGAGAGGTCAGGACACGCCGGAAGGTCGCCGGGGTCCGACTGCGGTCTCCTCGCACTTAGGCATGGCAGTGGCGTGTCGAACGTCAAGTAAAGATAGGAAATAGGGGTATTAGCGTCCAATGGCACATCGTTAACGACCTCTTCCTGGTCCACCGATCCTGGTATTTCGGCCTTCGTGATGGAAGAATCGAAGGCGGGAGCTGATGAGTACGCTGCCGAAATTCCGGACGACGCCGACGCGTACTTCCCGGATACCGCGTCAAGGGCTAGGTGATCTTTTTGTCCGTCAGTTACAGCGGGTGCGAAACTACCGCCGTTCCTCTTCGGCTCCATCCTTACCGGGGTATCAAATCTTAGCTGTGCGTAGATGAGACTTCCCAAATCTAAAGGCAGATCAACGTGTCAAAATCCGCCGGACGACTAAATAATGTCACGCAATGTTGCGCTCGGGAATCTCTCTGGGAGCGTCGATGGGAAGATATGATCTGTTGATATAAAACCCACCAGAGAGCGAGAAGTGCGAATAAAACCCACGTCCCCTGTTCCGAAATGCGGGCTCCTACCTACCTAGGCTTCATCGAACCTTGCCGATTGGCTTGGTGCGTTTATATAGCTAGCTACCATCTAACATATGTAAGTTACGGGATCGGTGAGTGAGAAATAATGTAACCTTCGCTTATGGTCGGTCATGGAGGCGTAAAACCGGGAGCTATCTTCTTAGCATGATGTCGGAGAGTTGCCAGGCGAGGATCATTGCCAAGTATAGGTCAAAGGGGAGATAATTAGTAGCGCCCTCCACACCTCTACGTATCAACCCGCAGGTATTCTTCTGCTAACTAAATCTTTCGATCTTTTAGAGACACATACTTGGAGAAAGCAACATTTACCGATCGTCTCACAAGACACGAAAATTGCTTATCGTTGCGTACTTGCCAACAGAAAGTTGCCTGTTAGCTACGCTCCAGTCAAAATACGATGGTGTGGATAATTATCATCCATCAGACCGATACTAATGGAGTCTCGAAGTGATTGGGTCCGGTAACTAGACCGAAGGATTGCGCTCAACCAAATTTTCGGGAATTAGCAAAAGCCTAACATTGGTAAGTTCATATTTCCGGTTATTCCCGCTTCGGCCTTGTGGATACCCTTCATGTGGTTCATGCAACAGCGGCTGTGGACCACCGCTGGCGTATGCTACGGACTTTCCGCATTAGACATTAGACTCAGAGACTTTGAGTCAAAGTGACATCTTTGTCTTAGAATAAGCGGCGTACTCGTAGCAGACGAATCATGAAAAATAGACCAGCACGTAAATTTTCTCGTCTTTTGCCTCATGGCACGAAGAATTTTTAGATTAGTCGACATACTTCATCTTTCAAAATATCACATCAAGTAAATATTTAATAGTAGCCGTTGGCGTCAGAGAGGACGTCCGAATTCTAAAATAAAAAGCACATCATATAAGTAGGCCCTCATGAATGTTTATCCCTAGTATAGCATTAAGATCATGGGAAATCTGCAATTATCAAGTTTGATATCATAAGAAATATTATCTACACCGAACTCCCACGAAGCCACATATTAAGGTAAGTACCGAAGTATTCGGGACTATATAATAAGCAGCAATTAGCCCGTACCACCATTTGTCATACGCCCAAAGAGATATGGAGACATGCCGAATTCAGGCTGGGTTATGTCTCTGGTGCTTAAACGTTCGTATTGGTAGGGCAATACGGGCGATTAAACTAAGGAATAATTGGCATCAACTTCTTGTAGATGCGGCATTTGGCTTCTTGTCTATTCACTCTTAACCTAGTGCCTAGAAGCCCCGTAAACCATCATCATCAGCATGTGTATTATCAAAGGGCACTCGGCTTGTTTAGCATTGGTTGCTAAATCGGCACCTGGACCACCATTTGCCATTGTCTCTCGTATATACCCGCAGTAGAAATATTTTCTGGATTTTGAGCAACATACAAGAGCCGTGTGGGTCTTAATTGGTTTAGACGGAGCAGAATGTTTCTTTATAGGGCGAAGGACTCATAAATATATGGCATTCTATCTAAACGCACATTGGGAAAAATATAGCCAAGCCTGGGACGAGTTCCCGTTTCGCGAGAGGGCTTACTCGATATCATATCTCGCCAATTTTGATCTGTATCAGTATAGCTTCTCTCGAAACGGCCAGTGCCGACGTATACCGCGTAGATACAAACTAGGTATTTACTACATAATATTGTAAAGGGAGTATGAAATACTACGACCTATCCGGAAACAAAGCGAAATTCCCCTGGGAATCATAGTAAACATATCCTCTTCGGCTGCTAGCGGCAGCAAAAGCCTTTCGACGTATCATCACATCATCATCTGTGACATATTTAACCCATTCCTAATATCTAGAGTTTTAGGGCCTAGTTAACTTTGAATAACAATTGGGTTTCGTGATATCTAGTAGACAAGACCTTGTTTTTTACTTTATCTAGGTAAGATGAACATGTCACTAGACATGTGATATGAGGTTTGACAAAGCTTAATATCGGCTCTACTATAGGTAAAGCCTATCTAAAAAGCGAAAGTGTCTTGCTATACCTTACAAGAAGCTGAGTGGAACTTCACGAACATTGCTGTTTATCTGCAATACTGGGTATCTTGTTCGACTTATAACGCGTTTGTGGTATTATGCTACAGATAATGAGTGTTTAGCAGCCCAAAGAACTCGGTCTCCAGTACACTTTTCGTGACTCTTTAAATATATCGTAGTAACAGCGATGCTTGGAATTGGTCCGTCGTGTCGGGGGATCTGATGCCACTGGTGCTTCAAGCCTTACACGAGGATGATCTCTTCATCCCAATTCGAGTATTATGTTCCGTAGGGTCATAGCAAGCTCAATTCTAGGCATAATCGCCTTGCTAAAGCACTTATGTGATATCCTAGAAGCGACATCTTGCTTTATTCCGGCGCGGGTTTTCAAGATGAAAGCAGTAAGGGATGTCATTGTCTAAAGTCTCAATATGAGGTTGGCCCTAACCGGAACCATCACCGAGAACAAGGGAAGCCCAAGCTACGATTGTATTATAACGGCCGTTCGAACTTTGCGGGTGACAAAGGGGTTTGTCTGAATTCAGCCCCGCACGACTACGTTCTTAGGAATGTGCTCCTATCTTGATCACTCATTATTTTAACGCACCCTAAAAGTTGACGTATTCCGCAAGACCTAGCAGCGGAGTTGCTAATTGTTACTACTATACTCTACTTATCGCCGCAGGCATCGCCGTATATCTACTTAACAGTCATAAGTATATCCTTTAATCATCTGAGATTATTATACGTGGGCAAGATGGGCATCGTGAGAAACCCGCCAAGATTAGGTCGGTCAAAACCAGGCTTGTCAAAGCCAGGCTTGTCAAAACCAGGCTTGTCAAAACCAGGCCTGCCAAAATCAAACAAGCCAGAATTATGGAAGCCTGCTCGCAAGACACGCTCGTTGTTCGACAAGCCGTTCGCTTCGGCGAGGGATTACAAGCTGCGTATGAGTTCCGGCTGGACAGTAAGCGATGGAACGTATATATCCATACCTGAAGATCGAAAGACTAAGAGGAACGTCCCGCATCCAAGCTATATTCACGACGCTTACCGGGCCACTTTCGGACTTAGCACTCTTCAGCTTGCCCACAATGCCCCGATTTCCATGTGCGCTCTGGACGTCGCAACCGATCACCTCTGGAAGTGCTCTCCCCCTTTTGTCCAGACTGAGGTCAGTGTATATCCTCCAAACGGGCCAGCCCTCTGGTCCCGAGACGAGAGCCATCAGGAGGCGATTTTCAAGGAGACGGAGCGCCAGACAGAGAAGAGGGGCAAGGACGTGTACGGGGGATTCAAGACCAAGCCTTGGGGTATCTGGCCGCTCTGGGTGGAGGACGAATGGGGATACGATTACGTCCTGCTCGTCTGGTATGCCGACAGTACGGATGCGTCTCCCGACTCCTTCGAAACTGTCACGATGGCTACTATATACGACCCCCGCCGTCATCCGAAGAGCCACGATGATGGAAAACATTACCCGATTAGTGAGCGCAGACAGAGACTAGAGAGACAGGTACGGAGATTCTTTAATCGGGCGGGCTTTAATACGTCTAGGTTGGCGTTTAAGAAGGGAAGCATTAGCCCCATGCCGATCGGCGAATGTACGTCGGGAGAACGCTGCTTCGCGGCCGTCAAGGAATTGCTGGAAAGCATCATGAACTACTACCTTGATATAGCCCAGGGAGCACAACAGGATTTCTCGATGGGCTTCTGGAATCTCTCGCAGTGGGTCAATCCATATCAGTACCGCATCGAGATGGCCGGTATCAACGCGTGGACGTTGATGGCGACGTTTGACTACAACGCCCGCATCGCTGTAGAGTGTGTAGAACCTGATATCAAGACGGAAGTCGTGGTCGACGGTCGACGCCGAGTACTTAAGCCTAATCATCTTGCTGGTTCGTCTACCGCGCCACTGGTTTCTGCGGACGACTATCTTCTCTACCCGGCTCCCAAAGCAGAATCCGAACCCGAACCCGAATCCGAATCCGAATCAGAGTCCGAATCAGAGTCTGAATCGGATGTATCAAATCCCGAATCAGCTTGATGAGATGAAATCTGGAGATGGGGGGATAGTCAGAGTTTCCTAACGATGAGGACTAGAATCTCGGGGTGAGCAATGGCGTAAGCGGAGTTCCGGAACGAGGACGAGGCAATGTAAATATACAGTTGCACGATGGTTTGTATTTTAGAATGTACTTATAGATTGTATGGATCCTGAGTTTCCTCAAGTGATTCCGTGAATGAATTGATTGTTCGTGTAAGTTACAAGTATAAAGTACCTCCTTATCTCTTAGAGACCCAAACAAGGGTTTGTAAACTACCTGTGCCGTTCGCTACCAGCCGTTTTTACATACATGATTTAAGTGATACTACCTCCTATATTTTGATGAATGGCCAACTCAAAGGTTGACTTTAAAGTTAGGTACCTATGAATGGCGCTAGTTTATAGACCCCTGTTTGAGTCTCCAACAGATAGTGCATAAATTCAGGTACTAACGTACGCTACAGATCCGTACATGTGCTTTGTATCTTTTTAATTGAGAAGGAACACGCGACGCGTTTAAACGCGGATCATGCGGGGAGCTTAGGCCAAGTCGCGTTTTCCCATAATTGAAATTCGAGTGCGAAAACCATTGATTCTATATTTCAGCTCCCACCAACTCAACAACGACTAGACGGTGTTCCGGTAGACAATATTTACTTTATAACTGTCTAACTGGTCACGGCCATCTTTTAGTACGGCCCTTATAGTTTCTAGTGACTATAGCTACTCGTAACCCGCGTATGCGTTTCAATTGATCCAAGTTTCGACTATATCCGCCCTCCGCGCCGTAGTGTCTCCATTTTAGTGGTTGTTTCTTGTGCGTCTTAAGAATCAAGATGGGCGAGTCTCGTACTCCAGCTAGGAAGACGCCTTCCATGTCTAGGAAACCCGGTTCGACTTCCTCAACGGCCACCGGAAAGCAGCAGACCCTCTTCGGTTTTTTTGCGAAAGCCTCCCCAGTCCCGAATTCGTCTCCTACGCCATCCTGTCTCAAAGAGACGACAAAGTCGAACAGAAAGCCTTCCACCGTCACCCCTGTACCCAGCAGCGATGCTTTAGAGCCTTCCAGCTCCCAGGAAAACCGTGGCTCGGCTGCTACGGTAAAGGTACTTAACGACGACTCGCCCTCGCATGTTATTTTCGCTGACGCACTAGGCAGCCCCTTTCCTCTCGAGCCGTCATGAGCAGCAGCCCAACTCGCAAGGTAGCGGAATGCGACGCCCTCTTTTCCTGTTTTTGCTAAGACTTCGCAGGTTAGAAAGACAGTCAATTACGCCGAGTCATCTGACGACGACGAGGATGTTTTCGTAAGCATGAAAGCCTCCCAGTCTCGACGCCGTAACCGCCAGCAATCCAGAGTTATAGACGAGGAAGAGGGTGATTATGAAGAGAGCAAGGATGTCGCTGCGGACGAAGAAGATGGTATAGTTTCTGCAACAGTATCAATTAGTCTAACGCGACATGTTAATCTGATAATCCTGTCGCAGACGAGATGGCCGATTTCGTAGTTTCCGACGATTCGGATGCTCCAGCCAAGAAAAGAAAGCGTCCTTCGAAACCTCAAAGTGCCCGAAAGCGAGCACACGCTTCCCCGGAGCAGGAGGATGGTATACAGTCTGAAAAGGACGCTGGCGACGAGATGATAATGGATGATGTGCCGTCGACGTCGACTGCCCAGCAGTGGCGTTATGATCCGGATAATGTCGATCCGGTAAAACCGAGAGCGGCTTCGCAATCTACGCGCAAGCCCTCTTCGGCAAAGCAAAAGGCGCACACTCGAGAACCCGAAGAGCGCTATCCATGGCTCGCCAATATTAAGGACATAAATCGGAACCCGCCCGGCCACCCGGATTACGATCCTGCAACCGTATACGTTCCGCCCCTAGCGTGGAACGGATTTTCGGCCTTCGAGAAGCAGTACTGGGAAATTAAGCAGAAGCTGTGGGACACGGTGGTTTTTTTCAAGAAGGGCAAATTCTACGAGCTCTACGAAAATGATGCCACTATCGGTCACCAGCTCTTCGACCTTAAGCTTACTGACCGCGTCAACATGCGCATGGTCGGCGTTCCGGAGAGTTCTTTAGACATGTGGGTTAACCAGTTTATAGCCAAGGGTTACAAGGTCGCGCGAGTCGATCAGATGGAAACTGCACTGGGCAAGGAGATGCGCGAGAGAGGAGACGTCAAGGCCAAGAAGCAAGACAAGATCATTCGGCGAGAACTAGCCTGCATCCTGACGGGTGGCACGCTTGTCGATGGCAGCATGCTTCAGGACGATATGGCAACGTATTGCGTTGCTATTAAAGAGTCCGTCGTTGATGACCACCCGGCGTTTGGTATCGCTTTTGTAGATGCTGCCACGGGCCAGTTCTTCGTATCCGAGTTCGAGGACGACGTGGACCTGACTAAATTTGAGACGTTGGTTGCTCAGACGAGCCCTCGGGAGTTGATCCTCGAAAAGTCTCGCATCTCGACCAAGGCCCTGCGTATTCTCAAGAACAACACCTCACCCACGACCATCTGGAACTACTTCAAGTCCGGCAGCGAGTTCTGGGAAGCCGATCTCACCCGGAGGGAACTCGACTGTAACGGCTACTTTGCCGAGACCGAAGGCGCAGAGGAGCGTTGGCCTGGCACGCTGGCCGAGGCGAAAGACAAGGAGCTGCTAATGTCTGCGCTCGGCGCTCTAGTTCAGTATCTCAGAGTCCTCAAGATCGAGAGGAGCCTTCTATCCCAGGGCAATTTCACTTGGTACAATCCTATTCACAAGAATGGCACGTTGATCCTCGACGGCCAGACCCTTATTAACCTCGAAATCTTTGCCAACTCCGTAAACGGGGGCTCTGGCGGAACCTTATTCGCACTCTTAAACCGCTGCGTCACGCCCTTCGGCAAGCGGCTTTTCCGCCAGTGGGTATGCCACCCTTTATGTAATATCGAAAAGATCAACGAGCGCTTGGATGCGGTTGATATGCTCAATGCCAATACGACCGTCCGGGAGCAGCTATCTTCGCAGATGACACGGATGCCCGATCTAGAACGTCTCATCTCGCGAATCCACGCCGGCGCGTGCCGTCCCGACGACTTTGTTAAAGTCCTAGAGGGCTTCGAGCAGATCGAGTACACGGTAAGCCTTCTTGATGCTTTCGGCGGAGGACAAAGCCTGATCGATCGCCTCGTCTCGTCCATGCCAAACCTTAACGAACCGCTATCGTTTTGGAAGACGGCTTTCGACCGCAAGAAGGCTCGAGAGGAAAAGATCCTGGTCCCCGAGCGCGGGATCGAGGAAGATTTCGATCAGAGCCACGACAGGATCCTCGAGATTAAGGATGATCTCCAAAAGCTGCTTAGCGAGAAGAAGACCGAGCTGAAGAACAAATCTCTCAAGTTCGCCGACGTGGGCAAGGAAGTCTACCAGATCGAGGCCCCAAAAACCGTCAAGGTTCCCAAGGATTGGCAGCAGATGTCTGCTACCTCGAGTGTCAAGCGCTACTACTTTAAGGAGCTAACCGATCTCGTACGGCAGCTGCAGGAAGCAGAGGAGACTCACTCTCAGCTTGTTCGAGAAGTCACGCTGCGTCTCTTGCAACGGTTTGACGTCGACTATGATACTTGGTTGCAGGCCATCCGTATCACGTCTCAGCTCGACTGCCTACTCTGCCTCGCCAAAGCATCTTCTTCCTTAGGCGAGCCCAGCTGCCGTCCCGTCTTTGTAGACGAGGAGCGCAGCCTTGTCGAGTTTGAGGAGCTACGCCACCCCTGTATGCTAAACACCGTCGACGACTTCATTCCTAACGACATCATGTTGGGCGGTAATTCGGCCAAGATCGACCTCTTGACGGGCGCGAATGCCGCGGGTAAGTCCACGATTCTACGAATGGTAAGCCTGCAATCCTTCCCGCTGTTAGGCCCAACACTAATACCCGTGCGCAGTCCTGCATTGCGGTCATCATGGCGCAGATTGGCTGTTACGTGCCAGCTACTTCGGCCAAGCTTACCCCCTGCGATCGTATCATGTCGCGGCTCGGCGCCAATGACAACATCTTCGCGGCGCAATCTACATTCTTCGTCGAGTTGTCGGAGACTAAGAAGATACTCTCCGAAGCTACGCCGCGGTCCTTGGTCATCCTCGACGAGCTTGGCCGCGGTACATCCAGCTACGACGGCGTGGCTGTGGCTCAGGCTGTTCTACACCACGTAGCTACGCATATAGGATGCATCGGCTTCTTCGCTACGCACTACCACTCGCTCGCGACCGAGTTCGAAAACCATCCCGAGATCAGAGCGAAGCGCATGCAGATACACGTCGACGAGAAGCAGCGGCGCGTCACCTTCCTATACAAACTCGAAGATGGCGTAGCAGAAGGAAGCTTCGGCATGCATTGCGCAGCAATGTGCGGCATTTCTAGCCGTGTTATCGAGAGAGCCGAAGTGGCCGCTAAGGAGTGGGAGCACACTAGTAGGCTCAAGGAAAGCTTGGAACGTGCGCGCGAAGGCTGCTACATCCCTCTGGGTATATTGAGCGACGTTGCCGCGCTGCTCGATGAAGAGAAGAGTAACGATGTCGGTCTGCAAAGCATGGATGTCCTGGCGAGGGCGATCGAGGCGCTCTAAGGTCGTAGGGACAAACGCCCGCTACTGTTTAGCGTGCGGCATAATTTTATTGTATCATAGCTGCCTCATTGTCTGATGTCTGTTATTTACGGTGCTAAGCATTACTGCATGTGTGCATGGAGTTGAGGTACTAGATAGACTGGGTCGGCTTGAGAATCAACTGCCGTTCTGAATACGGCCTAATGGACATAAGGATTCGCATTCAAGGGGAGAACAGCACTCTCATATTCCGGCTCTAAATTGTGTTACGGAACGCTTGTCAGGCTTCTCAGACAGGACAGCTCGATATTAATAGATAATTTCAAATAGACTGGCATTTCCGTGCCTGGTATACCGGTTATCTATGGCTAATTCCAAGACCCAATGCGTACCTAATGGTAGTACTATAATACTGCTGAAGAGTTCTTGGTAGCGGGATACTGGTTAAAAGGAGTCTTCTTGACATCAACAGTAAATTTATAATAACAACGGTAGTAGGAATCCCTGTATCCATAACAGTCTGGTTACTAAAGAATAGAGAAGGCCCATTGAAAAGATGAACAATTAATTTTATAGTACAATGGTATTAGATTTGCTCTTTCTACTTTACAAATTATTCGACGTTTACCGACGGTACTATAACGTTTGATTACCTTCACTAGCGGCGTTGCCCGTTCGCTCAAACGCGGACGGGGGAAAGGGGAGGAGGAGGAGGAGGGGGGGGGGGGGGGGGGGGGGGGCGGGGATAATACGCAAAACAGAACCCAAAGATTTAATATGGCCTGGGATTTGCAAACCAAACCGTAGGGTACTTTTTTTTAATTTTTAATAAACCG